AGTACAAACAGTCCAACTAATCTAGCCCAACTTTGAGACAGTGATTCTTCTCCCCTGGATTCCAGGTCGAATGGGCAGCGTTCGGGAAAATGTGAAAAATCTTCGCATCCGAATTACCTCAAAATCTCAAGACCAAAATCTTCGACCAGCTGCCAGTGATGATCTATGCAAAGCGAGACGTGGTAACTCACTATGAGTTTCATAAGACTGCTCAACATCACCCAGAGGGCAATGGAGAAAGTAATGCTTGGTGTTTCTCTACGTGGTCGAATTAGGAATGACGAAATCCACAAGAGAACTAAAGTTATTGACATTGCCGAAGGATTGCTCAGCTAAAATGGCAGCATAAGCGATATTGATGCATTCTCAATTCAATTTGTAGAAATCTGAATATTAGAATAATTATTAATTGTCAATATGTCTTGGAGCCTTCATGTCCGAGAGGTTAGTAGGAGGGTATTTGGTGCATATAGCTCACTTAAGCGACTTAAGAATCTTTTGCCGACTAAGACTAAAATCACTCTTGCTCAGTCACTTCTTCTCCCTTTGCTTGACTACGCTGATTCATGTTATACAGACCTAAGTGTCGTTTTCCTAAATAAACTTGAGCGACTGCAGAATTTGTGTATCCGTTTTGTCTTTGGTCTACGTAAGTATGATCATATTTCTGATTATCGTACCCAACATCAGTGGCTACCTATCTCTCGTAGAAGAGACTGTCATATCCTATCACTCCTATATTCCATCCTGTTTCACCCACACACACCGCATTACCTCAAAGAGCGCATCGTCTTTCACTCTACGAATCTTACCCGAGATCTGCGGTCTTCCTATAATTTATCTTTAGTCATGCCTTCCCACTGAATACTGATTTCGTAGCCAAGTCATTTACAGTTAAAGCAATCAAACTATGGAACTCTCTGCCTATAGATATTAGACGCGCGCAATCACGGAACTCATTCAATAAATTGATAAAAGAATATTTCCTCAATCTGGACTATTCCTCTTGAACTTCCAATTTATTACTTTACTATCGTAAGTTTTATTTATATATTTGCACTTTATACGTTCTCGTGTGTTGTTTCCCCTATTGCACTAACCCGCAGTTAATTTTTCTTTATTGGTATCATTTCCTTTAGCCTAGGGTCGCCTGGTAGAGATTGCTACCTTAGCAATAAGGCCGCCTTTTGTGTAACTGAATCTAGTTTTATGTACCTTTCTTACTGTATTTCATAGTGCAATAAAGAATATTCAATCAATCAATCAATAATTACGGGATTGCTGCCATGTAGCTTGTATAGTAGGCCGACGATCTAATGCGAGAAGCCGCAGGAAATGGGCAGGACCAATCGTCATGGACACCCAAGGAAACACCTATACCCAACCATGGGCATCGAACGGCTGATTAATGACGATGATGATGATGAGATATATAATAACATTAGACATCAGATAGATAGTACAATGACAAAGTGCAAGTAGTTGAGATGCTATTGAGATGCGATTATTACATTATAACAAAACAGGCCTTTCGGTATAACCTAACCATCTCTAACCTAAGCCTAACCATCTAACAAGCTAACAGTTAACAGATGTAAAATAGTAAGATTTAAATTAACCGAACATTTTACTGCACTCCTGCCAGCCATATAAAAAAATGTATTCAACCTTTTCAATTTAAATTATTATCATACTAAGGAAACAGAAGCGGTCGTTTTGTATTATTTTTTCTTTCACATTATGTATGTATGAAAAATGTTGCAATGAGTTCTCGTTTTCGTTTCGTATATTTTAAGACAACGAGGTACTCTGAATGATAAACTGTTACGACGTTGGATAACAAACACTTAGATGCTTCCATTTCAAGTTGGATTTTTCCATAAAAAGGATTGTTGTTTATTGTTATTTTTTTATTATTTCATCAATTGATGTTGTACTTATGTCACAAGCTAACCTCTGTCAAAAAATACAAAATAATCTACTGTAAAAGCTCTACGAAGCTCTGTAGCAGCATTAGAGGTTCAATCAAATAAAACTTTATTTAATATTTATTTATTACCGTTTGAATCAGATTGTTTTTTATTGAACCTCCAATTCTGTGACACCGCGGCGTTCGTAACTGTATTTTAACAGAATAACTCTGCCGATATCAACAAAATCTTTTTAATAGGCATCAAACAGAAAAATAAATAATGCACTGTGAACAGCTGTAATAACATTTATCTAATTCTACAGCTGTTTCGAAAAACTTTATGTACATCAGTTGGGCTATACGCCAAAGATTCTTAAAATACTTGTTTCATCGTGTAACTAACACAAATGGTACAAATTGACTAAAATTACTTTCGGCTAATATAACCGTTTGAGTATTGTATGAATAAAACATTTGAAATACGTGAGCTCTCTAAGGGCATTCGTTGACAACAGCTCTACTGATCAGAGAAACTTCTAATGTTTTAATTTTGTACCATTATTTTTGGACATTTCTACTTATGTACCATTTTTTTTTTCTCGTCGAGTAAATAAATGCATTAGGCTCTCCGTATATTGGCGAAATTTTTGATTTTCAATATTATTATTGGACCTCCTATATTGTGAACAAACTGCTATTGTTGATAATCCTTTTACAAAAAAAACAAACAATAAGTCGTTTAAACTTCAAAAAAGGCGATGGCACTAAAAAGAACCTTACAATGGACTAAAAATAGTTATTTCCGTTCCTTTTAACTAACTTTTAAATATTAAAAAACTGAAATTTACAAATTTCGAAACTTAGATATCAATAAAAATACAAAAAAGTATAAATGGAATATGAGTTGTGTATTGAGTTTTGAAAATGAATTTACTTTTATACATGAAAGAAAATCGAAAGAGTTGGCATGGCGAAATCAAGAAAGTACCGTCGTGACATCTAGTTTTATTTTGGAAACATTTTTTTTTTATACTTCCTCATTCGACTGAATTTATTTTTAATTCTTTTTGTTCGTTTGTTGCTGTATTACTCCGCCAATTATGAATTGATTTTCAATTTAAAAATAATACTTATTTTAAAAGCGGTAAAGTTTTTAAAGAAACTTTGAAGTCGGACGGTTATCATATAATAAACTACAGAAAACCGCCGCAGCAAATGTTATTGAAAAATTTAACCGCTTTTAATATAGTAAGTTTTTTTTTATTGAAAACTTTTACATTTTTTGAAACAAGTTTTTATTGTTATTCAAATTTATAATATTTACTGTTCATTTATTCCACAGTGATTGGCTAATCTTAATCCTTACGCTTTAATATTAATTTTACACTAAAGCTATAAGTATTATTTTCAAACAGTTAATTAAACGAAAAAAAGGCACATTTACATAAAATGTTACAGCAGTTTTATTAACATAATCAGTAAAAAAACATCAGATAATGACGAAAAAATGGAATAGTATTTAACTCCGCAGAATTTATAAATTAGCTGGTCATTTATTACTTCGTAATCGTCTGTAAAAGAAAAAGTTTGCAACATTAATGGAAAACCGTAAGTGCAGGAACATGAAATGGTCTGACATTTAATTTAGAAACGTCTCGCTGAAACATTTCACTCCACTAGATATTGGTTCCTTCTCCATTTATCAAGGTCACCATGCTACTCAATGAACGATCCCCGACGCCATACATTTTCGGGTTCAACGACTATGGAATTTCATTCGGAATTCATCAATCAGATATAGAATTACATCGAAATGGCTTACTGTGCATTTTTTCTGTAACATCGTACGAAAGAGTTCCATCGAAACAATGAAAAAAAAACTGAAAAAATATTATGCCCAAAAAAATATAACAACTTTGCAAATTGCGTTCGAAAGTCGTTAAGTACGGACAGTAAGTCCGCCATTTGTGTTTATTTTTTTAAGTGCAATAGAGAATAAATAAATCTCTCCTAGTCTATACTTGCTGTCTGTGCGCTCGACACGCCTTATCGTTAATGTAGTATCTAAAAATATGCAACTTTACAAGAGAGCGGGTAATAGATGAAAAGTAGAATAAAAACCACATTTGTAGGGTTAGGATTATGAAATTTGACATAATTGTCTTTTATTCTACGATTCGTTAAACAGACGTAATTGATTAATTTATTTTTCCTCAAATACGTTAAAAAGCCACGTGAAACTATTTTAAACGGACATATTTTACTATCATACGTAGGATGTGGTACATTCAACAATTTTTATTAAATTTTATTCTGTGCCATCACTAGGATATGGTAAGTTAGAACTTTTTGAACGGGAAAACAAAGAATTGTGTTTCATGTAAAGGAATTGAATGTAATTTGCTACTTATAATTACATCATTAGAATCTTTTATAATTAAATAACTAATAATGAATTCAAAATATGATATTAATATTTTTTTAAACTAGTATCAGCATTCCTAAGAATAAAATTTATATTACAAAAAAAAATATTTAAATTTAAAAACAAAAAGTAACAAAAGCAATCATTAATAAACAATTCAGCTATGTATCCTTTACTATAAATTATTGTTTACACTAGCAAAAATGCTTATAATAAATTTAACAAAGCTTAACAAATCCTGAAAAATCTTACGATATGTCTGTTTCAAATTAATTTTCATTTATTACAACACTAATAATGTTTGGAATAAAAATTGTATCCAGATTTGATATTATTATAAAAAAAATTGCCGCTTGGCGGAACTAAGGTCAATGTATTTTTATTATTTTATATTTTACACATAATAAAATAATAAAATGGACTACAAAAGTATTTGTGAATTCTCTCTCTGTGTTTTTTTGTTTATTTTGTTCACTTACCTGATGTATGCCGTGGCATGTACCAAGTATGTAGAAAGGGTTACCTTTATATTTTGTGTCTACATTTTCTTTGTCTTTGTAGAAATAAAATCTTATCTTTCCGGCCGATTGAAATTTTTCTTTCTAAAGACACTGAATTTTTATGATATTGAAGAAGAATAACGAGATCACTTGATCACTTATTATGTTAACTTACCGGGGCTTTTCTATTAAATCTTCGTCTTTAGAAAGACCTATCCTTTTAGACGATGATAAGGCTGCGGATAACAAAAATGCTCCACTTCATTACAATATTGTTCTAGAGAAGGACTAGAACAAACGATTTAGAAGACTTTGTAGTGAGTGCAATACAGTCATTCCTTGAGTCTTGAGTCTTCGTCTTCGTGTCAAAGTTTAGAAACAAAAACAAGATGGCGAATTTTCAGCAGACCTAATGACTAAAATTCTGGCACCATAACTATAAAAATTTTGTTAGCGACTAAGAAAAGGACCATGCTCAGATATATTTTGCTTGATAAAAATAGTTTACCCGAATTGGCAATAAACAAACAAAATCAAGGGTCTTTTCTACGAATTTGGCAATGTGTGGTATTTTCATGGTTTTCCAAGAAAATTAGTGAATCCATATTTTTCTACAATGGCTATTCATGTGTTATTAGATATAACTTTTCATCTGTGTCGTCATCAAAAACGGTTTTCCAAATGAGTTTCTCGAAGTAACCCTTTAAAATATATAATTTACGTATCATCACAGGCTTTTCCTGTGGTTAGAATCGAATTGAACAGGGAGAGAATTGGCCATGACCTACCAAGCGGGTCCAGTACGGAATGGTGGGTGTTAACGACTGTAGATACCGCCAGGATCGTGTTTCCGAAGTATAGAAAAGCTTGATATCATGTATATCATGAACGACCCTTGCGAAAGTTGCCTAACTTCCACATTGCTGACCAAAATACTTAACCACTGCGCCATCACGCTCCTCAATTGAAACTCTCTAGCAATCTACGTGTAATAAATAAACGTTATATCAGATCCCACCGCACATGTGATTATTAATTACGATCAATTACTTTATAAGTGGTAGATCCAACAACAACGATTTGATTACCTAAAATTATCGTCGAAAATTACAGATCCTACAATATAAATATAGAAAACTACAGTAAAAACATACGAAGTGGTAGATCATACAATAGCAATTTCATTATGGACAGTCATAAATGTTGTATGTGGCAGTTTTGTATATTTTTAATGGAATTTTAAGTATTTATTATTTACTTATAAATATAATCAGCAGTAGTATTAAAATCTAATTTAAACTAAAATATAATAAGCAGAGATGAGTGTGTGCGTACACACACTACAATATTTACATGCACCATTTTCAACGACTGCGCTGTTTAATGAAATTAGGCTTAACATCCTTTAGGATCTGCTTCTTGTATGGTCTAAGGACATTATGTCTTTCGAAATTAGAGCCTATCTAATATTTCGCAAAAGGTAAGCGCACAAGAAAACATATTTGCGTATTTCCCGACATTAACTCTGTAACTGGCAGTTTTCGCCGGTTGTGTCCGGTCAAAGTTGACTGTAAGTAATTACCTACATTTTTGTACGTACACAAGAAACGCTGCCGACATTATTAACGTATTTGTCATCGGAAATATAATAACAATTATTTTTTTAGGATATTATTCCTTACACCCTTTTAAGATGTTTTACGTAATAACACAAAAATCGTTAAAATGTAGATCCCACTTTAATGATAGGGCGTGTCGCGCTGTGATATTTTTATATACCTACACATCGGATTTCAATGGGGTTTTCATCAATATACAGAGAGATTCAAAAGAAAGGTTTATAATATATTCACCACCAGCCCTTTTACGTCCCCACTGCAGGGGCTCAGGCCTTCCTTATGGATGGTTAAGGAGGATGGGCCATGACCCTCCACGTTGGCCCAATGCGGATTGGAGGGTATTAACGACTGCAAATGCAGCCGGGACCAACGGCTTAACGTGCCTTCCGAAGCACGGAGTAGCTCGAGATAGTAATTTTTTGGTCACCCATCCCGTGACCGACCCTTGCGAAAGTTGCTTAACGACTACAATCGCGGACCGCGGCGCTTATCCACTGCGCCACCGAGCTACTAGAGGACACATTACCATAATAGAATTTGAGTAAAACGTTCTAAATGCTGGTTTTGTCATTGTCTTGAGGTTATTTATTTATATATGTATTTCACATTATATCCTTATTGATAAAACACGTAGGGACGGCATCAGAAATAAAATGATGTAAAAATAAATATAAGACTCACACACTTGATTATGAACCAATAAATAAAACACATAAAATTATATGATTTTTCAACTTTTTCAATCTTTCATTATATTTGCAAGGTAGATAGATCTCTTTTCCTTAATTAACTCAGTTCTGTTGTAGTTACGTATTTTATATAAGTAATTTATGTAAATTCAATTTCTATTTGGAGTTACCACTGTTTGTTACATTTAGTATAATGTCAATATTACCTAAAATTGGTAAATGTCACTGATGGTAAAACTATTGATTTGTTTTGAAATATGTCGTTAGGTATAGGTATTACTTATATACAATTACTTATACTTTATTCTGTTTGCTTACACGAACAAATAGATAATAAAAACTAAATACACGCTTAATAAAATGTGTCATTCCTGTCTCAATTTCACTTCTCACGATAACTCTGTCTAGACATAACTCGTCGTCGTTGGCAAACTGTAGGAACTATATAGACTGTGGTAATATTATGGATTCTGTCCGTTACAAATTTGAAAATTAAGTGAAACTTTACTAATTGTTACTGAAACTTATTTAATTTCTTAACCTTAACAACGAATTAAATTATTAGTTATTTACTTTTTAAGCAGCGATAAGTAATTGGGACCGAAGCGCTTTCTATTCATGTCACTGTCAATTCGCTAAACTTGTAACGTCATACTTGTCTAATTGAGATTTTGTATATCATTCCGATTGTTACCCCTTGATATTTATATAAAAATTCGCTATCTAGTACCATTTGTAGTAATAGTGCTCTCTAATATACATGCGACTGCTATTTTTTAAGTATTATATATGACATCTTTGCTAACCTCTTTAGAAAAGTGTTTTATATATATTTACAATTAGATTTTTTATAACTTCAGCCACTATATAGCTGTCCGCTATTATGTTTTATGCATCAGAATTTTTAAAATATGCATTTACTTGACTAATTTATAATATTTTATTTTACCCAAATACAATCCATATAAAAGAGTATAGCATTTGGAATGCAAAATTTATCAAATATAATTTCTCTGGAGTATCAATATGCATTGTTCCACATAGCTAGCACCAATGGATAGTGATTCGACTAAGCTGTGTTTTGGAAGGATGCTAGCTATGGATGTGCTACTCATTTGGATTTTATGATAAAAGCTTTCATAATATTAAAAAAATTGCTACAGTCGCAATCCATCCATTTTCAAATAAATCATGTCAATGTATGCGAACATAAATCTATCAAATCGGCCTGTGAGACGGATTAATATTTACATTTTTAGGATTCCGTAAAAAAAAAGTAAAACAGAAACCCTATTACTAAAACTTCGCTGTCTTCCGGTCTGTCACCAGGCTATATCTCATGAACCATGAAAGATAGACAGTTGAAATTTTCACAAACCATGTAACTATATTTCTGTAGCTGCTTCAAAAACAAATACTGAAAACCAGACTAAAGTAAATATTTAAAAGGGCTCCCATATAACAAACGTGATTTTTTTTTGCTGTCACCAGGCTATATTTCATCACCCGTGATAGTTATACAGTTGAGATTTTCACAAATGATGTATTTCTGTTGCCGCGACGAAATAAAAACTAAAACTATGGTTCTATTTAACCTAAGAATATTACAAATGTTCCACATATGGTCACTCGACAGCACTGAGAATTTTATTTAGCCAAGTCATAATACAACTTGCTTATTTTTAGTTCGAATTTAACAGACGTGTTTTTTTTTTTTAAACTAATTAAATACATATATATTTACAACCTCGTATTGATAAATTCTAAGATTAACCAACACACGGGCTGTTACAGTAACATATCTTTAATATTAATATTAAAACAGCGTTAAAATTCACAATAATAATATTTATAGTATATTTAGATGCGAGAGCTTTTCATCGTTTAATAAAGCCAATAGAGGTGGTTATCTTAAAAGCTTTCTATTTGAATAGGATACTGACGTCAAGAACAAAAGTAGCATGCTTGATCATAAATAAATATGCGAGTAACGTTGAAGTAGGCTGAAAGCATCCATCAATACAAGCCAACGTAAGTTTGAAATCTCGTTTACATACGTATTATATAGAGGATTATTTTTTTATATTATGGGAAACACCTCTTTATCTATGAGTCTAACACTCGTATCTTATAGTCAGGAGAAGTAATCACTTTAAAAATGTCACAATTTAATCATATAATTCTAACTAATAGACGAGAATTTCATTAATATCATAACTGTCAATAGCTAATTATAATAATATTCTAACTTTGGTATTCAAATATTTGTTTATTTTTTAATAATATAACCTTAAATTATGCCATTTTCTCAAGTAATTAAAGCTATAGTTAAAATGTAGTGTAAGAGTTCGTCACAAAAATATGGCAGAGTTCTAATGCTTGATATTTCAGTATGTTGAAGTACTAAAGGTTATACATTAACCTAAGGGTTAAACTGAGTACAATGCGGCAATCACCCCCTTACTCTCAAACGCAATCGCTACCGATCGAAATTGCAATTGTGCCGTTTCGTGCTCTTGATTCTAGTGCCAGAGTATGCTAGTTTAGTATGTGAAATAAATATCTAACAATAAAAATTAATCTACTTTATACTTTTAATATATACTATGATTATAAATTAATAAATAATAATAATCAAACTTTTTTTGACTAAGAAATAAAACCATGAAAGTGAAACAATTTTATTTTCTATATTACTCACAAAAAAGGCCTCCATTTTTATTAAGCTTTTATTTAGGTATATTTCACAAACAGACAGACACTCGTGTGATCCTATAATAGTATCGGATTTTTCCCTTTCGGGAATCCCTATCAAACGTCTAAATCCAACTGAAATACATATCAAAATAATGTAATTACGTTGATAAAAAACAAATTTTTAAATAAAGTACATTTTGCGCTAAATTAATATGTTGGTTACATTATGGCAGTGACTGTATAATATCATTGATTTTCGTCGTCAGTTTTAATTGAAACTTGTCATTCGCAGCGGACGAGAACGGTTCAATAACGGAGACTATACCAGACCGGCCGGTGGAGATCAAGAACTTCCCGAAACTGTGCGAGCAACGGCGCAAGTTTCCGGTGCTTTACAAACTAGAATTCCAGGTGAGTGAGTGCAGATTAACAACTAGTTTGTGTGTACACTAGTGCCCTTCTTAATAACTTTACACAGAATTCTAGCTATTTCATCGTTTCTCACAGAAGAAATTTTTTTTTTGAAACACAGGCTAGGTTAAACTAGATTCTGTTTTGTTTTAGGACTTCGTGTAAATATGCTTTCCAAAAGGGTCCCATCGCCAAAATAGTTTAAGAACCGCTGAACTATTTAATTATTCTAAGCAAAAATGATCCTTACTCACCATAGAACGCATAAACTTGCTATTTCAGAGATGTTAAATAGTGATATATCTATTGAAGGAACAAGCATCAGACCGTTCATAATTATACAACATAATTTAACCCTTTGTAACTACTTTTCAAAATTTTATAAAGGGGAAAGTTGCAAAGTTTTTGATGTTTGTTATTTCTTACGGATTTTGATATAATACACGGATATTTTGACATATATTTACATACTCTTTATCTCACTAAACGGTAACGGCTGAAGATACGGTTACAACTAGCATATTATAAAACAAATCCCTCAAGCTTATATGTCTAATTTGATTGAGATAAACATACAACTGATCTGGTATTCCCGCAACTCAGTAATAAAAGGGGTAATCAATAAAAAGGCTTTGATCGATAATTCCATAGTTTTTTTTTTGGAAAATTAAATTAATAGTGACATCTCATCAGAACATCACATGGATTTCTCAGATTCCAAAATAAACAACTAAATAATGAAGAAAATTTTATTTTCTACATTGATACCACCGGAAATTAAACCGGAGTCCTCACGTACAGCGATACTTCGAAACAAACGCGAGGTCGTTATATTCAAACTATGACAAACTAAGATGATACTACCACCACGATGGTTGATAATATCAGAAAAAAACATGCTGATTGGAAGTTTAATAAGAACATAAAGTTTTACTTTATCTAGAGACAAACAAGTTCGCACTCAGAATTTGCGTGATGCCAAACTAATGTAATAAATCACTCCCTAAGAACGCGAACGTAAACACATAATCACATCAAATGGGAAATACAATTGCTCACTGATTTCCATACGCACGACATTAACTGGAACGACATGGATAATAGCTCTTATCGTTGTTTTATATCCATGTTGGTCCCCAGCCAAGTATCTCCATTACTGAAAACTAATAAATTCTCCATAACAACTTAGAATCGGTAGGCGGAAGAACTCTCTTCAATTTCTAAGCCATTAACTCACTTGACTTTGGTGGGTATCGAATTGAATTCTCATCTCAGAGTATTTGCTTAAAGCTTACATATTATTTGACATAAGTTAGGTAACGAAGTAAATAATAAGAATATAAGTCGAAAGTGCTGAATTGTTACTTCAAAATAAATGGATGCAAAATAACGATTTAAATACCAGCAATATATATATATAAAGAGTGATGAATATAAATCAATAAAAACGTAATACACTAATAAGCAAATGTGCTAGAGGCAACGCTGGTTAACGCAAGAGCATAACGGCCATAACTGGGGCATTATTGTTTAAGTTATGACTTGTGCAAGCTTATATATTCATTGTTATAATAAACACAATATTAACATTGTGCACAGATTAATTACAAATAAATAATGATTCTTGTATATGGATAAGAATATATTTTTCGTAATATATTTAGTCAAAATGTAAGTTTTATAAATTATAAACATAAATAGCCATAGTTTGAAAACTTGATTATAAAGTTTGACCCACAACCTCGTTCCGTCTGCAAGCGAACGCCATGAAATTTATTTTTCTCGGAGTGTACAATCCTTATATAATATTAATAACGTGTTCCAATGCTCGTATTGTTGCCATTTAATTTGTCTTGCGTGTAAATGCGCTTAAACAAAAAAAAAAAATTAGTCCAAGAAGTCGTGTCAAAAATATGCAAGAGTTTTGTCTTGTATACCCAGTCCGGAGGTCAGATGCTGGAATACCTAGAAGCTGGCCTTTGCAACAATTTCTGTGATGTATTGAATCGCCGCGTTCACTTTTGTGTAGCCTGAGAAGAACAGGATTTTTTTAATTAGTAACAAGCTTTTTCGCCTTTTTTAACTAATATGAAATGACCCTTGTAATGAGTGGTCCTATTTTACATACTACAAAAAGCGCGTTGCTACTAGGCTTACCTGACTTTCGGTACTGAGTGATGTATATATAGTACTTCATAGTATTTAAATATCAAGCTTTAGGAAACTCTTATACATTTTGTCACGTTCTCTACTTAATTTTTTTAATAAACTTTATTTAAAAATGAGAAAACTATCTCATATGTCCAAGGGTTTATCACATTCAAATTGAGTATTTATAAGATTTTCTAGATAGAAGAATAACACATATTTACCCCATAATTCACATTTTTTCGATTTCTTTTCGAAATACTTTTTATAAAGAAAGTAATAAATATCTATGTTGCTAACTTCTTAGTTGTGAGCTATATGTAATACTTTACAATAATTCCCCAAGATAGAAGAAGAATAAGATTCACCCTCCTCTGACCCTATCTATCTCGCTGCCAGACACAATAAGATAGACAGGGATAGTCCATTGACTTTACACTCAGCCTTAACAACTGAATATAAGGGCCATACTCTAAAACTCCATTTAATAGTTACTGTATTATAAAATACATCATACCGTTAGAGTAAGAACTTTACGGTATTGTAAAATAAATAATCAAAAACTGTTTGTTCTATGCTCACGACATGTTGGCGTTTTGTAAAATGTTGGTTCAAAGTTTGTAGTGAAGTATGCTGTACCCCACGACCAATTTAAAATTTCTACTTTGTAAAATGTTATCTTAATCTTGTTCCACACAATTTCAAGCTATAAATTTATACGTGTTATCTCCGACGACACGACGGTACTTTACTCGTTCTTAACTGGATCGCCATTTTTCTCCTACACTCTCGGTTCTTGGATTAAATTGTTAACAGCTTGATAAACTTACTTTATATATGAATTTAACTCTCGCGAAAACGATGATCGAAAACTTTAAACGGTTATTATCACATTGCTCAGATCTCAAATTAAGTAGCTAAACACGTACACTATAGCAATCTGAAATAACGAAGCTTACAATCAATATTTAGATCTAACATAATATAGGATAGTCATTTTCCACATTTTCCCGACCGCGAATCGAATCAAAGACCTCGAAAGACGACACCTTGAAACCCATGTGCGAGCCAGGCGGCCACGGATATCGTCTATTTATTTTATCGATTAAAAATGGATAGGTATAGGCAGAGGCCTATGAATAACGTAACGAATCGTTTTATTTCGATATACTTACGTAATATCTGTTGAACTGAGATGATTGACCCTCATCTGTTATTAATTGATTGTAACAAAGTTTATATGTTACATAACATGTAGATTGTTATACATATGGGTTCTGTCATGAGCAAGAAAATTCCTATCCAATACTAAAAACCGCTCCGATATCTATACCGCGGTTCAGAATTAACATAAAGGTTGTACTCGTACTTATTCTAAAATTAATTTTCGATAAATCGTCGACTTAATCTTGCGACTGTCCTACAAATGACATCATAAATATGAAAGTTAGAGCAGGACAGACTACGAAATAGTCCATGATACCTACACCAAAGTCGATGTTAAGAGAGAGAGAGAAATTATCAAGGTGTATAAAGGTTGGTGACTTTAGTATAAATTATAAAGTAACTTATAAAGATAAATAAAAAAATAATGCGATTGTTAATTTAACCTATAATATTGTTGCAGACAGCTGTAAAAGTGGAGAATCATTCGTGTCGGCACGCCACAAAGAAGACGAACCTACACAAAAACCAAAATCAAAAAGTTATACCTTGTAAGTATTCTTTTACATATTATTGTACATATTCAATCAGCAGTGCTATTCTGCGTCATTATTCATTCAATGTAGCAACGATTAGCACTTACTCTTGAACGGAATCTGAATGGTAATTTCAATCCAATCCAATGACTATCTCAATTTTTATCAAATCTTAGCTCATACTCTTCAGGATAGACTCAATACTTACTCAATATGAATTAGTTCATTCAGAAACTACGTAATATTGAGCTAATTGGCGCCTAGTGTGCCAAATCAGGAGTAAGAAATGTCACAATTGCAATGTCGATTGCCGGGAAGTTGGATGAGGACCGCGCGCGACGGGGAAGCCTTTGTCGAACAGTGGACGTTTTCCGGCTGAAATGATAATGATTCTTCAAGTTTTCTTTAAACGAATAGTTTTCAGCTATATTTTTAGTAAGTTAATTTAAAGAATGCGTAATACATCCATGCTTTCCGCTGCTAAACTTCTTATGTGGCAGATACTTCTTTTGCCTCTACTGAAATATCAATCTACCAAATATGCAGATTTGATGCGCGCACTTTCCTTTAATTTTTTTTTGCGAAATTTTGTTTTTTAGTGTTATAATTTAGCTGCAGTATACTCGTAGCTACGTGCGCACTGGTGATTTTAGTCATCGTTGACTTTTGTTCTTCATATCGTGCTTCTGTCATTTGTATGAAAGCCACCTAATTATCTAACAGCCAGTTGCTCAAACGTCATTAGTTTAATGCGACATTAACCATACATACAGCCAGCTGCACAAACGCCCATTAAATTGTCATTAGTTTAAAGCGACATTACCCATACAAATTTGACATTCATTAGAGCTTACGTCATTAAACCTTAGTGGACGTTTGTGCAACTGGCCATTAAAGTCGTCATTAAACACACATGGATGTTTTGATGGATGCAAATAAGTCACGAAATGGCACAAAAACTAAAATTTACATTGTAATATACAGAGATTTTGATTTTAAGTCATAAATAGAATGATTATCTTACTATATTAAAATTAATAATCAAGATTTTCTGTATGTGTGTCACGTGACTTGAAACACTGTGGCGGCAACTGTCAGATTAGTCATAAAAATATGGCTATTAATTATACATCAAAAATGGCTGTTCTTGATTATATCTTTTTATTTAACAATCGACCGTAAGATGGCACTGTTCTGGTTTTATTGACATCTGTGCATCTGTTTTGAACAAATATCCGAATGACGTCATGGATATGACATATCCGACAGCGTTTTCGCGGGTATAAAATAAGTTTTAACTATAAGTTATAACTATAAAATAAGTTTCGGAAAAATAAACGTATTTTCTTGCCTTAAAGGCAAGAAAATACGTTTATTTTTCCGAAATATTTGTTTTATGGATAATTAAAATTAAAATTAACACTATTTCAAACAGAGTGGAATACTCTTTTGATTCTACGGAAAAGACTAACATTATGAATATTGCCCAGTGTTGTTTTGTTTGGGCAATCTGGTGAAAATACACAATACATTTACATTGTTCATTTACTCTCTGCGCTCGGTCCTATTTGTGTTCTCTGTAAGAAAACGTGAAGTTATAGATAGATAGTTAAATCTAATATGCTCTTGATTGTTAACGATTAGCAGTATATTATGGCAATGCAATTTTTATTTTATTTAACTACATATTTTTATTTCAGACGATTACAACAGAGTGGTGCTAGAAACAGTGGACCGGGAGCCAGACTCCGATTATATTAATGCTTCCTATATAGATGTGAGTATGTAATGCAACTTAAAAACATTTGACAAAAAGTCTAAGCGTCGTTGTTTACAAAATTTATCACAAAGTTACTTATAAATTTTCTCTATATTAGGTAAATAAGCATAATTACTGTGATAAATTAACATAATGGTGAATTAAAGAAGTCACTTACTATTTTTTTTTTTCATTTCAATTTTGAATAAAGAATTAGCAATTCAATTTTATAAATCAAAGCTTTAACCGATCGATGCCAGTATGATGTAATTTTCTCATTTATAAATACAGCTTATTGAAAGTTGGATTTTAAGCTGTAGGGTGCCCACACTATCGAAAATTAGTTTTCATTTTATTGACTAGTTGTCTCAATGAATTTTGCACCGCCTTAGTTTAAGAAGAAAAAATATTGTTTTTACTTTTGTTATTTATTATTCCTTTTTAATTTTCACGGCAACGAATATTTTTAAATATATACCTTCATCCAGCATTTATCGAGTTTTGCGCTCAGCAAAACATTAGCGTTTCATTCGTAAAGATTCATAAAACTTTTTCTTCAGAAAACTAATTCTTTGGTAATACTTTTCTTAAATCCAATGAAATCTTCTAGAAAAGTAATAAATAACTTAATAAACAAACGAAATTACTTTGCAAATACTTATAAACTCTATTATTGTGAAGTTACGGGACTCATTTTACTTAATTTATTTCGTTAAGTTTGTGGCCTTTATATTTGGCACTCGGTTCACGTAGCACCATAATAATTTCGGGCATTGTTGTTCAAAGGGTAGAAATAATAAATAAAGCTACACCTCTAGGGTATAACGTTGCTGGTAGCTCGTGCTTACAGGCTCCATAAGTAGCGGTTCATAAAGAAACGTTTATATTAAGAAATATAACACCCGTTAAACGAAATCTGAATGATTTATTGCTATTTGATAACTCCACGTTTATTAATTTAGAATATTAATTAATAATTCACACAATAACTTATCAACTTAACATGAACATTCACACGTATCGGACATAATCATTTAAGACCAACATCTTAACCCTTCCACTGAATGCGGGGTCAAACGTTCCCACTACGTGCCAACTCACCTAGGTTCACATAAAAATTACCGGAATTAACCGACCGAACGCAGCCCTTATAAGGAACATAAGACTATACAGTTCGTGTTACAAAGAATTGACCCCATTTACTCATATAATAGAGATTATTACCCGAAGTGTTTCTACCTTCAGAGTTTGACAGATATCGGACCCTTGTTATTTGGCAAGCTTCAGCCATTATTTAAGATTTGATATTTGCCTTTGTTGTTATAATTTGATAAAAGTTTGACTGGATAAAGAAACATTATGAACTGATGCTGAAATTAACTTTTGGGTTTGTTAAATCATTGTTTGAGTAATGATTGTGTAATTTTTGTATTGTATACAAACCTCAAATAAATTGATTATTATAAATAAACTTTATATAAAACTGTTACGCCTAGTAAATGGTCTAGGTAAAATAAAAAAGCAAGCGAAAAGGAATAAACATTGCAAATAATAATGTCTCAATAATGAATAACATTTATAGATTAAAACAATTTTTTAAACTGGTATCAATTAAAAATTAATAAGCAGCATCAGCTGCATATTAATTTTTATGCCCTAAAAAGGTTCAAAGCATCAGCTTTGAACCTTTTTAGGGCATTTCAAAACAAGCGTGGTACATTAACCACGGTTGTATCTATATTATAATCATATATACCTAATCACTTCAAAATATTAACCAAATGTACTTTATTACTTTCTAGAATTTGTATACCAAATATTTCTTTTCCACAGAGTGTTTTAAAACCCAATGCCTACATAGTGACACAAGGCCCTACTGAAGACACAGTGGTTAGTTTCTGGAGAATGATCTGGCAAGAAAGAGCAGCTGCCATAGTCATGCTCACCAAAACTTTTGACTTTATCAAGGTAAGACTATAAATAAGTGGAGTCATCAAGCAACTAAGACTGCATTACAAATGACACCTACGACGTTAGCTGGTTTTATTTCTTAGGAACAATAACGTTCTCAAGTATAACAATTTGCTCTTCATCGCGATTTAAATACTGTTGTTAAAATAATAAAAAAATCTGCTATATAACACCATCCTTCTTCGATAACTATAAGTACATCGTGTCAAGACAACTGATATATTCCTTGTTTTTGGTTTTTAGATATGTTTTCGATCTTAAGCGTGTAATCGTTATAAAATGAACAATATGCTGATAATGAATTGTTTTTGTTGTAAAATATGGACTGAATATAGCCACTCTCTTGTATATTATAAGAAAATATAAAACAAACAGCATTTAAAAAACGTTAGCAATCCATTATATCCGATCTAAACGAATGAAAAGAAATGGAAACAAATATTATTTTTAACACACAAAATCATCAAGTTGTACCGCAAAAATAAAATTGTGTAATAAAAAAAATATTTTTATCATCAAATCATCCAACAAAGTCATCAAATTCAAATAGAATTTAGGATAAGTAACTTCGAAAGTAATTTCACACCACCGGTGAAAATGCTCCGGGGTTTGATGGCGGATAACTTTGCGCTTGAATGGGTTCCGGGCGAATAATTTGAAAAATATTTTCTGTTACATTTGCCGACAGTAAGGAAAATATTTGTAAGAAATAAAATGTCAAAAACAGGATTCAAGAAGCTTTTAGAGAATATAGGTAAATATTGTGAGTAATTTTATTGAGAGTTTAAATTGTAATCACAATAATTGAATTTCAGTTTCGGCCTTTGTTGATTAGTGAAGGGTTAAGGGCAAAGGACTCCGCTCCAACTAAAAGTTCTACTTGGTATGATGAAAGAACATCAACGGATAACTTTCTATTATATTCGACTTAATAGATATTCTGTTTAATTTAAATTTCAAAACCAAGGAAAGTAAGGAAAAACGGGGTAGATGTTGCATGTCTCCGGATTTCTCTAAACATTCTCCAAATTAAACAATTTATTTAAAAGGAAATATCGTAAACCATTTCTAAATTTAACTCGACGTCATTAATTATTTTTGAGTAAAAAATATTCCTTTCCTAATATATAAATATGCTGCTATCAATAACCGTGAAGCATAAAAATGCATAAGACTACTTTATATTTTTATTCACATTTTTACATTCCATTTCCTTGGCAGGTGATGTGTGTTCAGTATTGGCCTCCCAATAAAGAAAAGGATGAATCTTACGGTGACATCAGCGTTGGAATTGTACAGGAAGAGGAACTAGCCAATTTCCACATACGAACCTTTAGACTTTACAAATCAGAGAAAGACGTGAGTATAGACCGTGCAGTACTATCAGCAGTCTTACTATTGAACCCAATATCAAAGTCAATTTAAATCCAATCCAGTGACGATCATCCAATCACGACATCTATAGAGAATATATGTGTCCCGGCAGTGGGGACAATAGTAGGTTGATGATGATGATGATGATAAATCTTAAAAAAGAATATATTTGCTTATCTTGAGCTTCTTATGCAGCACCAATAAAGTAAAGTTAAGGTAGTCCAGTTTTCGAGAAAACAATAAGTCGTTGTCCTAATTGAAAGTCTGAAGAACCTATTAAAATGGACGCAGTCATTGTCATTATAATAGATAGCATAACATTAAATTCAAATTTAAATATACAAAGTAAGGACATTCCTACATCTACTATATTTTGTAAAAAGCTATGCTATTGTATTAAACAAGACAAGACAGCACAGAAATTCAATGTAATAAAACCTTTATTACCCTTTGAAGTAGGTTTTATTTGATTTAATCTCTGTTATGACAGATTATCTCGATGTCAAGTTCGAAAATTCCCGCCTTGTGCGCAACGAGGCTTTAAACCTGCCGTCATTATTTATTTAGTTGATTACAAAAAAAATGAGCAACAGCTTCATACTTCGCTCTAAAACAGTGGCATATTTTTACTAAAGCAATAATTATATAATAAAACGTTTTAAGTTTGGGTTTTAAAGTGGGTCACGGAGGGACAGTGTGAAAATAACCAGGCCACGGCAGTTCAATGTTCGGGCAACACTGCTCTATTCCATTGTAAATTGAATGTTTCAGGTTGTGGTGGAAGAAAGATTCATTCTACAGTTCCATTACACCCAATGGCATTCGCACACGTGTCCGTTCAGTAATGCATTGCTAGAGTTTAGAAGGCGAGTACGAGCAGTGGTCGGTCGGAGGTTAGCGACCAATCCTGCTTCCGGACCCATGGTCGTGCATTGCAAGTAAGGCTCTGTAAATAGTCTATACTTATGTTCTAAAGAGGAAATATTTTATTGTTTGTTTGCATTGAATGGGGTCCGAAACTACTCGATCGTTTTTAAATATTTATTTTATCTTACGCGTATGACATTGACAAAGGCTATATAATTGACTGATGATTTAAAGTATAATAACAAGTGAGTTGATCTTACAACCAGTTGCACAAACGTCCATTTTAACTGATTAAAGTGACATTACTGATACAAATTTGACATTCATTAGAGCTTAAGACTTAAATCATATACTAGTTGCAAAAAAAATAAAACAATTTACAATTTCGAACGCTTTTTCGTTTCAGTGATGGCGGAGGCCGATCAGGAGTGTACTTAGCAATTGACGCAAACCTAGAGTTGGCGGAAGAAGAAGACTGCTTTGATGTTTTCGGATATTTGAAAAAACTCAGACAATCTAGAAAGGGCCTTATAGAAAACGAAGTAAGTATTAACAACGCTGAAAAAAATACAAAAATATAATAATCCTCCTATTAATGTTCTCTATTTACTACAGGAACAATACAAATTCGTTTACGACACGTTAGAGGAACACGTTGTTTGCGGAATATCCTGGTTCCCCGTTTCGGAACTATCTCAAAGACTGAAGCAGAAATCTCAAAAGGACCCCGTTTCTAAACTTAACGAGTATCAAAAGGAATACCAACAGATTTGCAAGCAAACTCCGAGGTTTACCATCGGTGACTGTGCTGGAGGACATAGAGGCGACAATAGGGAGAAGAACAGAGATGTTCTAGTCGTTCCACGTAAGGACAACATTTCTCTTTTTTCCTCTTCATTTAGGGAACAAAAAAGCAATGTAACATCAAAAGTATTGTGTGAGATTCTATTAGAGATAGAGAAAACAGTTATAAATAGAGCTTACGAATACATAAACTGATATAAGGTATACTTGTCAATGTCAATTCAAGTGCAAGGAATAGTACGGTTGTTAAAAAAATACAATCATTACAACGAATAAATAAAATTGTTGACTAAAAGGACTTTATTACTTTGCATTTGAATTATATATAAAATATTCTTTAAAAAATCATTATATAAATCGATATATCTGCAAATGGAACAATTGTAGAAACTGAAATTCCGTGCATTCTTGTTTAGTTTACTATCTGAAAGTCTTATAAGGGTTACCTTGGTATCAACTAACATATAATTTGTTGATCTTTGAATTTTTGAATCAAATGGTTATAAGATAAAAAATCTCTGATCCGATTATCTAATAGAAATACAGATTATCCATGAATTAAGATACCGTAACTTACTCGTACATATATAGCTAACAGTGATACCAGAGTTTTCTTGAATCTTAAATATTACTGATATTAAATAATTATTCTACTAATAAAGGTTTTGTAACAAATATTCCGATAAAAATAAACGATAATAATTGTTATTTCATAAAATTGATGCCAGCTGATCTAGCAGAGATATTCTGAACTTGAACCGTATTGAGATTACTTCTAGTTTTCTATATTTAATCTTGTGTTGGTGTTTGTGTATTCATCTCTACTTTTTTTGTTTGTATGTGTTGAATTTACCGAACCGATTTTAAAAATTCTTTTACTTACGGGACTCTACATTATGATCTAGATTCTAGACTATATAATTTACACGAGCGAAATCGCAGGAAAGTTATATTTGTTTCGGCTATAAATTTATCTTACTAATAAATTATGTGCTCCCTCCCAGCGCTTATTTTATGAAACCGCAATCAGCTACAGCTATTATGTAATTAAACCTCGAACGATGGAGCCGAAATCACTTCAACGAATAGTTAATCCATCTTCAACCCCACAAGAAAATTAATTAACGTATAATAGGAGCTGACGGCATATTTCTTTGTGATCTGTGTACGTAATGATTTGAGGCTTTAGAACTTAGCAATATGATAACTTCTATATATGAAAATTACAAAAGCTCCAATTCGAGGGGGCGACTCTCTCGCTATTAATCTAGTCATAACTATAAATATTATTAATTTTATCAATGAATCAATGAATGTTGTCTAATTTACATAAGTTGGGAAACTATAATAACCAATACCACTAATATCCTATTAATATTATAAATGTGAGTGTTTCTTTGTTTAGATATTTGACCATTCACATCACGCCGAAACTACAGAGCGGATTTTGATTAAATTTGGTATACAGATACGGTATTAGCTTAGATAATAGGATACTTTTTATCCCACTAAACATTTCCCTAGGGACCACGCGGGCGAGACCGCCGGCGAAAGCTAGTATTTTATAAAACGAGAATTATAACAGAGTACTATAAGAAAATAAAAGCATATTCATCGATAAGAAAACGTTATTTTTTTTCTTTCAGCTGATAATTTTCGACCATATTTGACATCTTTCCAAGGCAATAGTTTCACTGATTATATAAATGCTGTCTTTGTAGATGTAAGTAAATAATCATTAATGTTTTTATGTATAATTAAAGAAAACTTCCAAATAATAAAATATTGGAACATGCACACGTGAAGAGTTTCTAATCGATTCTCTATTTTAATTTTAATTAAGTAACTGTAGCACTTGTATTATGGAAATCTAAAACAACCAAAGTAACAGAATTCAGTGGGTTAATTGTCTTATTCCAAAATCTATCTTAATACCTACCAAAGGTAAAGCGTTTGTGATGATTAAGACGATCGAGAAACATAATAAAAACTTAACTATCCCATCGAAAGATTGCTTTAACGACGTTGCTTTAAATAAAACTATTCCTAACCCTATCACATGTTTAATAGCTGTGACATGAAGTTCGTGAATATCTTTCACATGTCAAGTTGAAAGGCATCGCGATAAATTTCAAAATGAGATAATTAATCCTCAGACCCGAAACAATATAGAAAAGTTCATTTTCTACATTAACCCGACTGGGAATCGAACCCTAAATCTTAGAGATGGCGACACCTTGAAATCAGCATGCGAGCCATTCGATCACGAAGGTCCAATCATGATTTTTTTTAATATTGTATAAATGCACCTTTTACATTACTATTATTTTACAGGGCTATACAAAGCCTCGAGAGTATATTGTAACAGAGTGGCCTTTGTTAAGAACACAAGGAGAGTTCTGGTCGTTAGTTTACGACTACGAATGTGCAGCTGTAGTCGTATTATGTGTTCCTCCTAAGAACTCTGTAAGTACTTTAACGTTAACTCAGTCGAATTTTAACAAAAACGAAAAATAATAAGTTGAGAACTCGATTCAGGTAAATTTGAGCATTATGTTGTCTCGAAGGTCTCAATAAAACTAGTATATATGAGTTACCAGTATTTTTACTTCCATTTTAAAGTGAAATGCTACTTTGACTGGTTCCTTGATGTTGCCTTGATCTGTCGACAGTGAGGGTGGGTGTATATCTGACGAAAAATACGTAGTGCCTAGTCTGCCGTGGAATAAGGACTGACAAATAATATGACATTTTATTAGGTTTGGCGAATCTTACGTCAGATGTGCTCCCATCCTTAATCTAACAGACGGTTAAAATGCTATACTATTTCATTTTAAGATAACATATTTTAACATCTTGGCATCTTAATATATTTAACATGAAAAATATTATTTTATCTTAACCGTGTGTGTTGGGCCATTAAATTGTATCATCATCAGCCTTGTTACGTCCCCACTAGTTAAGGAGAATGGGCCATAATCCTCCACGCTGGCCCAATGCCGATTGGAGGGTCATTGGACATTTGATTGTGAACTGTAATTGGATTTTATAGCAAGCGATATTTTATCTTGAGACATAATATTATAGTATCTTCACCATCTGTTACGACCTTTAAGTTCAAAATTATGTCCTAATGGCAGCACTTCAGTTTACCACAATATATGTATGTCAAAAATATGTAAAATATGTACCTATATATTATTGCTCCCTTATGAAATTTATTTACCAAAAAGGACATTGTAATATAAAAATACAGCCCGCAATATTTGTTCATATCATTTCACTGTTATTTTAGCAACAATATCCTCCTTTCTGGCCTGAGGGTCGGCATTCAAAGAAATATGGACCTGTTTTCACGATAGATCACGTCTCCCACAACCACTATACAAACATAAAGACATGGATATTCAGGATCAACAAAAAGGTAAGCAATATTTTCGGTAATCCTCAATTTCATCCTTTGTTTCAGAAAGCTTAAATTTGTCGTGGTGTAGAAATATTTCGATGAAACTTAGTTAAACAACAGACTGCGCTTGAATAATCATCTACCTCTACCTCATCATTAGCATAATGTCATTATAAATCTATTCATGCAGGACTATATACGTGTAAAAGAACAAAATTATACCATGCTATGCTAATAACGACTATTACTTAAATTGTGTTTAAATTGTGCTTAAATGTTTACATCTAAACAATATAAAAAAAAAAATATAACGTACACATTATACCTAAATAACAATTTTATGAAATAAATACAATAATAACACATTTCACGATCAAATCTATCGCATGTTATTGGAATCTTCTATGCTAGCTAGCTTTTTTTGGTGAGCATGTATGAAAAGAGTAATGAAAGTCGAGGAGACGAAATATGACTGGATGCGTACCCCGCATGGGATCTGGCACGAAGATATAGAGATATAAGTTGAAATTGGTGTAATGGCATACCGCAGGGTTTTAAAAATAAGATGAGACTATACAATCCTGATTTCTCGAAACTTAGCAGATGATACGCGGTGATACCAATTTGCTGCTGATTTTTAAATTTCGAGAAATCAGGGCTGTATCAAATCATCTCTGTTGTAAAACCCCTCTGCCCTACATTATATTGCTTAAACATTTATAGACTTTAAAAAAGTAAACAAGTCTACTAGGCCGTTACTGAGCCTACCTATTAAGAATACAAATATTATGTCTCCTTAAATAATTGATTAATTTTATAGCAGCCTCGGTAAAATACATATAAAAAAGATAAATACACTATAGTAATCACATGTAAATGAGTCTTTCAAAATGTTTATTTCATACCACAGATATTGTAATATTAGGTAGGTACATATAAACAGCTTAAAATAATGAAATCATGTTTTTATTTAGATTGTGTCATTAACGGAACTGATGGCTGGCGTGAAAGCGCCGCCGAAGACTGTTCAGCTATTCCAATTGACGTGTTGGCCTATGGGCCATAAAGTGCCGTCCTCGACCAACTCCCTGGTGGAACTGATGAACATGGTGGAGAGATGGCGGCAACGCACCGACTACGGACCTGTCTGCGTTGTGTCACCGTATGTCTCGACATAATTATTTGAATCATGATAATGATATTTATCTCGAGCGTCATTAGGTTGATATTTATTTAGTACAACAAAAAGTTTTACCAACTAATGCTAGTAAATATTAGTAAGTACATATTGATGAATAAATTTACAATCACAATTTTAAATCATGTTGCAACAGAAAGATAATTTAAATTTTTATGACATCAAAAAGTCTAGATATTGATGATCTGCATTTCAAATATACACACAACGTGTGCTCTTATTATTATCCAAAGCCCGTTAGACATTTATTATTTACATATTATATAAACCCTTTTATTTTCGACCTCTCCAGAATAAAAGAAGATGTGAAACAATGAAATGCATGAATGAATGAAATATTCTTTATTGTACATACACCAGTCAAAAATTTACAGTTACAGTCTAAAATCAATACAATCGGCGGCCTTATCGCTTAGACACGATCTCTTCCACGCAACTGTTACAGAAAGGACAAAAAAATAATTATGACCTACAATTAAACATAAAGATTTCTGATTACTAGTTTTAAAGTATCCGAAACCAAAGAGAAACCTGTTAAGTTTCTTATAGTTATTGAGTTAGCCTTTACTTCTTCTCTGTAATACAGTTAAGATAATAACCATTTATATTGTACCAGGGACGGACGAAGTCGTGCTGGTGTTTACTGCGCGGCGAATGCGTGTATCGAACAAGTGATACAACACGGAGAAGTCGATGTATTTCAAGCCGTGAAAACCGTACGACGACATCGACCTCAACTTGTCGAAAACATGGTAAGTTCTGTAAATAATTATTAAAATATATTAATTAACTAATTAAGTTAAATAAAATTTGCATATGAAATTTCCATTTACAGACTGAATACAAATACTGCTATGATCTCGTGCTCCACTACGTGTTGCACTACTTAAACAAAGATATGAACGAAAAGAAGTGAGAGTGCGAATTAAAGGACGAGCTCTGGTTCATTGAATTTGGCCGAGGTGCTGCGCTTCCTACAACACCGGAAGAGACGAGTCCGTCATCGGTACCACGCGATGGCCGAAGGGCAGCGGGAACAGGACCCAGTGGTAGGCCAGCTCGCCCGAGGCGTGGTCTGTCTCTCGATAGACTACTACCTGCTGCCGTGCGCCCGCCTATACCGCATGCCGCCACCGTCGAAGCACCCCGCCGCCCACGCCGCGATCGCCCTCCCCTTCGTCGCTCAATCCGTCTCGAGGACGACGATGCCGCCGCTGAGGAACGTCGGCGCGTCTTCGTCCACGGGCCACGTGCGCCTTCCTTTGACGAAGGTGACGCCAGCGACGAGCATGAGGAGTGCGAGTGCATCCGACGTTCACTCGAACGGTCCGGTCCCTCCGCCGAAACGGCCGATGACACTGATCACGAACCGGAGCTCGCCGTTTCACCTCCATCCGTGGAGCCGGCACCGCCGGAACCACGACCCGTTTCTTCGGATCGAGCGCTCACTGACCGCCGAGAGGCAGCGCTAACGCCCCGTGCGCCATTCCGTGCCCATTCACAAGGTGTTTTTGAGCGCCGATTACCGAGGATTTATAAATTTGGTCTTATGGATAAATCTAAGCGCGCAAGTTCTAGTGCACTCTATGAGCGAGCCGACCGCTCACCAACTGAGGCATTTTATAACGCAACCGGTTCGACAAGGTTGAGTTCCCAAGAACTTTTTGAAAAATTCTGCTCGGAAGATTTTACATCTTTATACGGACGAGAAGATGATCGACGTCGTCGACCGCCGCACTCAAAGTCGACCGGGAGTAGTGGATCAGACGTAAGACACGAACGTACATGTTGCCGACGAATTCCCTGCGGCTCACAACCAGCGCTGACTCGTCGCCATGCATGTCATGCAGTACGGTCTGACCGCTCAACAGACTCTGAAGAATTATCTCCACATCGCTCTGCTCCTCGACCGATACCACTGGACTCTGAGCTACCTCCGGATGACTGCTCTCGATCTGCACCACTACTCAGTCCTGACCGATTTGAAGCTCGTTTTACATTTGATATATCAGAACGCAGCGAAGTGACGTCAAATCGAGACGAAACCCCATCCGATGCTACAGAAACTCGCAATCTGACACTCTATGAAGAACCGCATTCAGATCGCACGAGTTTATGTGAGCTTTATGATGCTGCATTTTCATCGCATCGGCCGTCATTCCGACGTGATAGCTCAAGACGACGAGGTCACATCGATTTGAGTACACTCGATTTCCGAGCGATAGACGACGAGAGCCCGCATACCAGTCGTAGAACTTCCCAGCGAAGCGTCGATGATACTCTAAGACAGAATTCTGAATCACGCAGCTGGGCCTCAGATTCCGTGTTCACTACACCTGAACGACGTTTGCCGCCAGATACTTCATCGCCGTCTTCAGTCGATACTCGAAAACTGGCAGTAGCATTAGATTCACCGAGAGCCGATTCCACGGCCGCCGATTCAACTCTCGCAGATACAACAGTTATCGAAGAAGAGGTGCCCAGTGTTATAGAACGTACTGAATATGCTCTAGCGTTAAGCCTCGGTCGAATAGATTTAGACGATGATATTCCATCGGAACGTGCTGCATCGACGCCAGCAGAGAGCATTCGACTTTCGAGTCGACCGTCGATGCATAAGTTAGAACCGATCGAACCAGCTCGGTTATGCGGTGGTGGCAGTGACGGTGACGCGAACAGTGTGCGCTCGAGTGCACGGCGCCGGGGAGCCAGCGAGCCTCCGCGGCGATCCGCACGGTGCTTCCCACTCTGACTGCGGGGGGCGGCGCCGGCCCCCATGCCGCGCCGCAGCCGCCGCCGCGCCCCCCCTCGTGCCTTTTCGCCGCGGCCGCAGCGGCCGCGCAACAATGCTACCGTGCGCTGCTCTCTCCTCGTTTACGAATACGCGCCCACCTTCGTTGAACTAGATGCCCGTACGTGAGCGTCTCCAATTGTTTATATTACTTGCTTTAGTCGCTCTGAATACTGAACGAGTTTCTTTTCTTATTCATATTATATTTAATTGTACTAAGATCTACGCTTTAATACTATAAATTTAAGATTTAGGTCAACTGAATGTTTTTGGAACAACATGCATTAGTATTTGCAAATAAGTTTTGGAATCACATAGTATTTGAATTTCGGTGGTTGACCACCGATGTCAGCTAGTTAGTCTTTGTAGTCTTGCCGATTCACAGAACCGTAACTGCCAAATTTCTAAATAAGTTGATTAAGTACTTCGTCTTGTAAGTGAATAGCGTAGTGCCGTCTATTCGGCGTTATTTTAGTTAGGCGGTGCCTAGTCTACTACGTATGTAGAGCGTAGATTCTAAATCTCGTAGATAGAAATTGATCCCGGGGATAGCCATGAGCACCTCGGTCGCAGTCCACGACTGACACAGGGTCAAATATTAGATATTTAATATTATTATGTTTTAGTATTCTACACAGTATTTATGTGTATCGTCGCAATTTATATTATGCGACACCTATATAGAATGCCATACAGATCCTACTAAAATGTCAACCTATTTGATATTTTCCCCGTAACTTGCTCACTTAAATATACAATTCGTATACCGGATAAGAAACTCTTGAATGTGAAAAATTAGTAAGATCTGGTGGCGGTTTCATTGGTGTTGAAAAACATTGATTTTTTATAAATGCTAAATATTCACAAAGGTGCAGAAAAAGCTACATTAAAGTAGTTATAATAGTTCAATGAACCATTATAATAATTGAACAAATAAAATATTAAACTTGAATTATTTGTATCACAATCAAGAAACAGAAAGTTTAAATTTTCACAAAAATTCCTTCGATAGACAAAATAACTAATAAAATTATATATATTATTTACACCAATTTTACTATGAAATTCCCCACTCGTTGAAATTCGAACAGTTACGAAGTAATTTGTATCTCCAGCGCATATTTAACTTTTGGTGTCCATAAAATATATTGGTGTTACTAAATGTTTGTAGTTTGTTCCACTATGTTATTAGCTTATTCACCTAGAATATATTATTATTATATTGTACTTCGTATTCGCTATCGAGTGTAAATGCTTTGTCCTAACCAGTGCGTGCGGTAAGCAACCGATTTCGTCAGCGAGTCTACAACTATATTTTTATGATCGTAAAAGAATTTTCTTTAGATATTAATGCTGTAAAATGTATTAAGATCTTTATTAAAGTTTGCCAACCCACACATAAGTTAGTGCAAAGCTTTATGTACTTTAATTTTGTACCAAGCTAAGCTTAAAAACTGCTACTTCGTCTTGGCTTGAACTTAAAATTGACCATTTTATAATGTGACCATCCATTTGAGTGAACAGTTGTATTTCACGAAATAATCAGCTCAACCTAGTTTGATCTCTTCACGTTTGTCCATATTTAGGCTTTTCACGTTTTTTCATTGTAAAAAATGTTTGATAAAATTTCTCTGTCTTTTTATCAAATCTACTCATTTTGTAGTCTCATTAGTCAGGCTTAACTAATATTACGGGCTATCCAATATATTGGTTATTGGGAGTACACCCTGCCTTGTACGCAAAGTGAAAATGCAACTTACTTTGGATACCCGACCAAGAGTGACATTTAATAATTTAGTTTATAATATTTAATCTTTGTAATAATGTTGATTAACATTACAAATGCTGTGAGAGACTTTTATTTCTGTTTACATTATTTCCTTAATACCCTACATACATGCACAACTAATAAGCAAATGAGAAATAGGCTAGATAAAAATTAATCATATAAAAAGGCGTCTAAATGACGCTTTATTATTTTTATTAAAATAAAAAAGAGTAAGTACAGTACTTACGCATGAAATTGTATCTTTTTTTTATTTTCTCTTTTTCAATGTGTAATTTGTGCATTGTTTTTTCTACAACTTTTCACGGAAAATTACGAGTGAAAATAAAATTTCTGAAAAATTGCTAAAGTGAAACTCGGTAGAGTGCCATGTTTTCTTGTAGCCAATTTTGTGCGCAGATAACCCACCCATCTTAACTTTTTAATACATCATTTTTATCTAGACACAAAATGACATTTAGCGCTATTTCAAATGGTCCACTAAGATTTTGCATTTTGATAACATGATATAAAGTGCATTCAGATTGTCAGATGCTTATACATACATCATATTATGGTGTGGTCAACAGCGTTAATGTGTCAATTATACGAATCATGAAATGATCGGTCACATTAGGAATTGATCAATTCTATGTTCTGACCACGACATGTAGTTTACATTACTTTGTAATGAATTTGTGCCAATATTTCCATATTTTGAGATGTTTGTTGATATATAAGTTTATAACGTATTTACATAATATTTGAAATATTTATTATGAGCTTGAAGCTCTTGTTTAGTAGATTAATAAGGAAAACTTCCAATTATTAATTAACTTAGCGACAATGTCGAGTAGATTATTTTTAATGTTAAATTTCTTACAAAGAGTTTGTGCTGCTAGTCGTTTCTTTGTATTCTTTGTTTTGCCTTAGCTATAAAAGCCATATGGAAAGTTACTGTAGACTGTATAATTATTTTATTAGTGGTAATTTCGTAATGGTTTAATGCCGTAGCCGCAGTAATGGGGTCGTTGATTGTTTTCACCAAAATAACTTATTTTAATTAAAGTCTTGCAAGCTTTTTTGTAAGTATACTTAAATATTTTAATATAACTGTGAAAGTGAAAACGGTTCTAGAAATGACAAATAAAAATGCCGCGGGCGGTATAACTGCGGTTATGGCAGAGCTTTCTAAACTTCTATCCATACAACTTATTTTTTCGATGTTTCCGTTTGATTTTTATGTTTATAAATTATATATTTATTCATATTATATATGATACATTATATATTTTAACGAATTGTAACGCACAACCTTGCCAAACAGACATTTATATACATATTTTATTAAATTAAAATTTCCTCCACTTTGACTGCATACATTTTATTAGGGTATTTTAGAATAGGCTTCTATGAGCGGCATGACATTGTATAAAAAAAAAAAGTATTTTAAAACCGGAAGTTCAGACGCTTAAATCTTAATGTTATTCAATGTAGAATTTTATTATCTTGTTTCGATTATCAACTCTAATATTGATATATAAAATGTTTTTATCAAAAGACAGATTCTGTTAATTTTGCAACACAGTACCTAATTGATATTTGTATTTTGCCAATATATAAGAAGAATCCTTGAATTATTTTATGTGTTTTAGGTCATAAAAAACTATTACGGTTATAGTTAGACTTTTACTATAAATATTAGACTGTCGTCGAAACAATTTTAACTTTACCCACAGTATTTAACACCTTTTCCCTTGTTTTTAGTTAAATTTGGTGTCATAGCGTAGATTACGATGTTGTAATGCTTTATTGTAAGTTAAAATTTCATGTGGACCATTATTCGATGTTTTTTTAGTAATAGTTGACATTTATAAACAGAATAAATTTTCTTTATAATTAAGTGACAAGATTTAATGATATTTAAACCTTACACCGCACCGACCATTAAATGTATATAATAAATAAATTAGAACAATCAGAAATTGTACAGCAGAAAATATCTACATTAAAATTATACCAAATTAAGAAATTATTGTATACCATATACTTATACATATAAAAAATAGGTTATATAGAAGGGAAAATGTAACTTACTTATATAATTATATATATATATAGAAACATTGTGATTTCAAGGTTTCAACTTCCATAATATTGTAAATGTAATATAACATATTGAGATATTGTTGTCATAAATGTTATTTAAAAGTAATTTTAAAATTTATACATGGAACTTAATGGAAAATATATTTATTTGTTGTATAAAATAAAACTGTTTTTTATTTGTTTTTCTAGGATAAACTATTCACGCCTTTCAGTGCTGGCCCGGAATACTTGTCAAAACTGCTAAATTTTTTAAAATCAGTCTCTTTCTTTCTATAATATCGCCTTACACCTTACGTCCAAACATTTTTATCTGTTATATAATGGATACATATATGAAAGAAGCTATTTTAACAAGAATTTTTAATAGTAGATTTAAAGTGACTGAAATCTAATTGTTGTATTTTGCTTAGGATCTTATTATGAAAGGGTACACAAAGACCCCTGAATTATTTACTTAATGCAGTCTAGTGATAGGAAACGTCAATTAATTTTTATTTCTAGTATTAAAATCGTGTACATCACTTTTTATAGGAAACAAATATTTTTACCAACGTACATTAAGTTCTAATATTTTTATTGAAGAGCAACTGTCAATGTCTATTTCTTAAAATTTTGCTCTTAAGCACTTCCTAATCCTGAGATTATAAATTTATATTATAACTGTGTTCTGAAGCACAAAAATCGTTGGTATGTCGGCAGCAATTCCTCACAAAATTACATATGACTGATGAAGCTGAAGTCTACCAGTATGGCGGTATGTGTATCAGTTTACCGGTGTAACTTGACTACGGCATATGCTGCAGAGCTACTCGTAAGTCTATTCGATAATTTATCACTTGGGGGTAATACCTGGGATCTGAGGACCAAGAACTGCTGCACACCCGAAGCGTAAGCGGGACTAGCGTGAGCTGCACAGTATTGCTGTACCGTATTGTAAAAATGCAGCGTTGAGCTCAACAAATAAAACCTACCTATCAAATAAAACCTACTATAAAAGGTAAGATAAGTATGTTTCGTTGAAACTATACTGTGACAGAGCTGTGTTCGATGTTGAGTTCGACGCTGACTTTATAACTATATAGCAAAG